TAAAATAGATTAGATTTGATTTAAATATATTTAATATTTAAATATAATCCAAGTTGTGTTATCTCAAGTCCAATTAGGGTGGTATATAAATAGTCATAGTATATATTTTTATTTTGTACAATACAATTCATTAAGTGAATAATAGAATTCTAATTTCCTTTATTATTATCTCTTTCTCTTCTCTCTAAAAGTGTCTCACACAACTTCACGTTAGAGATCGTGTTTCCAAGACAAGTGAATCAACCGCTGCGAATATGGTTAGTTATAAGGATATTCTGAATTCTCTTCCAATGCTTGACGAAAAAATTGGATACCATGGAAAAAAAACATATGTAATCCTTGTTTGGCTTCCATGAAACCATATAAGTGGTTACCAACGACATTCCCGCGTTGGCTACAAATATAACCAATGAACAGAAAAAAATCCACAATAAAGTCAAGAAGAATGATTGCAAGGTTGCTTATTGCATTCAGACAGCAGTCGACACTGCTAACTTCGACAGGATTTCTCATGCTGAAACGACGAAGGATGCATGAGATATTCTGGTGAAGTATTACGAAGGAGGTAAGAAGGTCAAGGTTGTCAAGTTACAAACCTTGCATCGACAATATGAGTTGTTGTCATTGGGAGAAGATGAAAGAGTTGAAGAATATGTGTCGAAGGTTCATAAACTTGTCCATCTCATGAAGGGTTATGGTGAAATCATAACTGATAAGATGATAGTTGAGAAGGTAATGAGAGTATTAACCTCTCACTTTGATCACGTTATCGTAGCAATTCAAGAATCTAACAAACTTGAAACCCTAAAAGTGGAAGATTTGGTTGGTTTGTTGGAGGCGCATGAGATGAAGATTGTCGAAAGAAAAGGAGTTCAAGAATCGATATAGGCACTGCAAGCTCAGTCACGGAAAAAGAATGGTGGTTCCAACAAATTTAAAGGCAATGTCGACAAGACTCAAGGAAAAAAGTCTTGATCGAACCCTCACAAGCATCAGATTAAAGATAGAGATTTTGAATCCTCGAAAAGAGGAGGAGGAAATTGTCGAAAGGACAAAGAAGATAAAAAAGGTGCGCAATGCTATAATTGTGAAAAGTGGAGTCATGTAGCCAATAATTATTGGTATAGAAAAGATAAGGAATCGACCGGCAAGGACGAAGGAGCGAGCCTTACACGCCAAGATTCAGATGATTTCGAAGATGGTATGGTGGTTATGGATGTAGTTGCAGATAACCATATCGAATCCAAGATCTAATTTCTCGACTCAGACTGCTCGAACCACATGACTGGTCGAAAGGAGTGGTTGGCAGATTTTGATGAGTCGAAGAAGAGCAAGGTAAAACTTGCTTATAATAGTTCGTTGCAAGCAAAAGGTACTGACAACATAGTCTTTCAAATGAGTAATGGAGGGAAAACTATGATCAAAGATGTGCTCTATGTACTTGGAATGAAGTGCAACTTGTTAAGTGTTGGACAACTAGTAGAAAATGGTTTCTCAGTTGTCATGAAAGATGGAGTTTTAAAATTGTTCGACACCAAGAACAATTTGGTCTTAAATTCTCCTTTGTTGAAGAACAAGACGTTTAAGACCATGATCAGTTCGACTGAAGTACAATGTCTAAAAACTGTTGTCAACCACAAGGATAGTTGGTTGTGGCATTTGAGGTTTGGACATTTGAATTTTAGATCACTCAATCAGCTAATTACTCAAGATATGGTATCTGGTATCCCAAGTCTTGAGATACCCGAAAAACTTTGTAAAGATTGTTTAGTTAGAAAGCAATCAGGAAATTCTTTTGTTTCGACTATGCCAATGAGATCATCATGCATACTTGAAGTGGTACTTTCAAATGTATGTGGTTAGTTTGAAGAACATACCATTGGTGAAAACAAATATTTTATTTTGTTTGTCGATGAGTTTAGTCGGAAGTTGTGGATCTATGTAATCAAGAGAAAAGACAAAGTATTTGAAATCTTTAAGAGATTCAAGATGCTTGTCGAAAACCAGAGTGAAAGAGGATCAAAGTTCTGATAATAGATGGATGTGGTGAATACACTTCGAAGATGTTTGAAAAATTTTATGCAGAACATGGTGTTGATCATGAGGTAACTGCTCCTTATACGCCTCAACATAATAGAATTGCAGAAAGAAGAAACATAACCATATTAGATATGGAGAGATGCGTGCCGAAGCATAAGAATTTGCCAAAATCTTTATGGGGTGAAGTTGTTTCGACTACAGTTTATATCCCGAACATGTGTCCTACCAAGATATTGAAGAACAAGGTTCCGGAAGAAGTATGGAGTGGAAAACGACCATCAGTGAGTCATTTGAAGGTGTTTGGCTCTATGTGTTATAAGTATGTTCCTGACACGAGAAGAAAGAAGATTGATGACAAGGTTGAACCTATGATTCTAGTAGGATATCACAAGACTGGTGCATACAGGCTATTCAATCCAATTAATGAGAAGATTTTGTTAAGTTGAGATATTGTGATTGATGAAAATTATGTCTGAGATTGGAATTCTAGTAATTCAATTAATGAGCCATTGATGAGCTTCAATTTTGACGAAGGAACTGATGAAGTCGAAGTCGAAGGAATTATTGAGAATCCAGTTGAAGTCGAAGTAGAAGTAGTTCCTCACATTCTAGAAACAATCGAAGATGAAGAGGCTTTGGCTGAAACAAGCCAAAGACCTCAAAGAAATAGAGTTCTTCCAACAATACTTCATGATTATGAGGTAGTATGTGATGATGAAGTCACACCATATGGAGAATTAGTTCATTTTGATTTACTCGCAGGTGCTGAACCAATCAACCATAACGAAGCTTTGAAGATTAAACAATGGAAGTTAGCTATGGTCGAAGAGTTACAGGAAATCGAAAGAAATAATACATGGAAGTTAGTCGAATTGCCAGCATATACAAAAGCTATGAAAGTGAAGTGGGTGTTCAATTTGAAATACAGTGTTGATGGTTCGATAGCAAGACATAAAGCAAGATTAGTAGCTCGAGGGTTTCTTCAATGAGAAGGACTCGACTACTCTGAAGTATTTTCTCCAATAGCAAGATTAGAGACTATTCGACTAGTGGTAGCATTGACATGCAATCAAGGTTGGTCGATATTTCATTTAGATGTGAAATCAATATTTATGAATGGTCCTTTAGATGAAGAGGTATATGTCACACAACCTCCAGGGTTTGTGATTCAGAAGGAAGCGAGTAAAGTATATAAGTTGCACAAAGTGCTCTATGGCCTCAAGCAGGCACCTAGGACATGGAACAAGAAGACCAACTCATACTTAGTCGAATTGGGATTTGTCAAATATAAATCTGAGTATGGTGTCTATGTTCAGGTTATAGCACTAGATATAACAATCATCTACTTATATGTTGATGACTTGTTAGTAACTGGAAACAATTTAGAGAACTTGTCGAAATTCAAAGAGCTAATGATGAAGGAATTTGAAATGTCGGATCTGAGAAAATTGTCTTATTTTCTAGGCATGAAATTTCAAATGTTGAAGCAAAGTATGGTAAGTATGTCAAAGAGATACTCAAGAGATTCAAGATGGATGATTCGAATCCTGCATCCTTACATGTCGAACCAAATGTCAAGTTGGAGAAGAATGTAGAGGAAGACAAATTCGATGTAACTTTGTTCAAGCAAATCGTGGGATCTCTGAGATATGTGTGAAACAGTCAACTTGATATAGGTTTCGCTGTCGGATTAGTAAATAGATATATGAGTGAACCAAGAGTGTCACATATGAAGGTTGCAAGAAGAATTCTGAGATATTTGAAGGGTTCGATAAACTGTGGAATATTATTTCGACGAGATTCTAAAGACAAAGAAGCAATAGTTAATTGCTTTTCAAATGCTGATTGGTGTGGAGATAAGGAAGATCGAAGAAGCACAACTGAATATTTCTTTCAAGTATTTGATGCCCCAATCTCATGGTGTTCGAAGAAGCAACCTGTGGTGGCATTGTCATCGTGTGAAGTTGAATATATAGTAGAATCCTATGATGCATGTCAAGCCATTTAGATCAGATTTGTACTTAAAGAAATAGAGGTCAAAGTGAAGAAACCTCTAGTATTGTAAATCGACAACAAGTCAGTCATAAATTTGGCGAAGAACCCAATTTTGCATGGAAGAAGTAAACATATCGAAGCTGGGTTTCACTTCTTGAGGGAAAAGGTAAATCGAGATGAACTTGGAGTTAGGCATTGTTCAAGTGAAGCACAGTTGACCGATATTTTCACCAAAGGATTGAAGATCGACAGATTTCTGAATTTGAGAAAGAAATTAGGAATAATTCAGATCGACTGTGACTAGTATAAGTTCGACAACTTGGATTATAGGAGTGTGTTAAAATATTAAAATAGATTTGATTTGATTTGATTTGATTTAATATTTAAATATAATTCAAGTTGTGTTAATCCAAACCTAATTAGAGTTGTATATAAATAGTTATAGTATGTATATTTATTTTGTACTATTCATTAAATAAATAATAAAATTCTTATTTTCTTTATTATTCTATATTTCTCTTCTCACTAAAAGTATTTCACGCACTAACAATTAAAACCTACTACATATCTTAGTCATTAGATTGAAAATAATTAATGATAAAAATGTGGAGTAAGTCTTAGAACGATAAAACATCATAGTTGTGGTGATTCGTCATTGTTTAGAACTTATAGTTTGCATACAAAAGAATTTGGAAATAAAGAAATAAGGTGAATATTTGCAATAAATTTACTTGAATTCACAAATACTTTGCTTCGATTTCGTTGTTACATTTTAATATCGAGCTCTGTCTCAAACGAAAACAAAGTTGTTATTCTTAAAGAATCCACTTGCCTTCCAGGGTAAAAGTAGTAATACAATTCGCCAATAAAAGAATCAACATTACAACATTTAGTCACCTATCAAAAAAACCGCTTTTAACAAATGTATAATCCAAACAGTTTACAATACAATCAGTCTATCACATTCAGTATCCGTAACCATATTCAAGCAAATGATTAGGCTCAGATAAAACCAGAAATGCGTCAGCACAATCCACATAGCTGCTAGATTCAATCCTTGGTGGGACAAGTGAATCACAGCATACAGTACACACAAACAATGGGGGAACAGTCTCAGTATCATCTATTCCACAACATCTTGTATGCTGCCACACCTCACAAATATCACAAGACACCATTCTCTCACCATCATCATCATGTGCTCCACACTCACACCTCACCTTCCAGTTATCAGACCCTCCTTGATATTTCAATGGTGTACACAAGTCTATACTGATTCCTCTAATACAAAGCTTCACACCTGATTCAATCAACCCAAAAATCACTTCATTATCCTCCACACCCATCAGTTCTTTTATATCTGTCACTATCAGTCTCTCAGCTATGCAATAAGTGTCCCTTAAAGCAGCCTCAGCAGCTTGTTTCAAGTCCCTAACTGTTGCATGCAATGGAACTGTTACAATCTCACCACAAGTTGGCCCTTTTAAATCAGATTTATCCTCGACAAAATTCGGTTTCAGACAGCAAATAAACGTCAGAACCTGTTCCATTTCATCTCTCAATTCCCACTCTTTCACAAAGTGTCTGCAGTCAAGAATTGTTTGAACTGCTAATTCCACCGCCTCTGATTCTGGATAGCCCAACAACACATTCTTGTAGAGGTAAACTACATCGCTGTAAACATCATTACCCGGAGTTAAAGATGAGGCTCCTGCTGTTGATGATGAATCTACTTGAGGATTATCCGCAACTGTCATTACTCCATGTTCCACTTCAGGTGCGTTGAACCCTTTCCCAAGCTCATGAATGGTATACTCAAGGATCCTTGAAGAAGGGTTAACCATACGGCGAACCACGTAGTTTCCAACAATCACATTGTTCAATGATTTCAGCACATAATCAAGTAAACCTGTGTCACCAATGTGAAGCCTAGCTGCATCCCTCACATCTTGTCTTGTCATTCCACTAGATCCTGATTTCGTAGCTTTGTCTTCTTTCAATGCATCAACAATCACTTGAGCTGCAAACTCTAGTCTCCTTGTTGGCCATCTACTATCCATGTTCACCACTGCTGTGCTGAATTTTTTATACCTTGCTGATTTTTCCTTACTCATGGAATCTGATCTACTACATGAAAGTGCATTATGTTTGGTTGGATTTCTTGACAGAAATGTTGTAGGTGAATCAGAAGCAGAAGCAGCAGAATTAGAAGCAGAAGAACAGGTGATTGTTATCTTTGACACGGGTCGCCGAGACTTGACAGTGAGCATGAATCTGAGAAGCTCTCTAATTGTGATGATTTGTGTTTCACTCATATCTCTATAGAAACGAATCATCTGTTTGATATCTTTATGGCACTTTGTCTTACTCAAATCTCTTGCAATCTCATCAAGAACTAACGAACCAAGAGTTTCAATGGCTTCATAGTAGTTATCTTCTGTCGCGCCAAAGCTTCCACGACAAAACCTATAGCCCCATCTACCAAACCAAGAGTGACCATAAGCAACTCCATGTAATAATCGAAGATCCATTGATCTTTTCCTTGAAGCATCTTCTACTGCAATTTGCCTGCATTAAAGCAAAAGGCCAAATAAAACACTGACTCATGAATGCAGAAATATGTAACTACTATAACTAGTACTATTTCTATTACCTTGCTCTAAGATTGCTACAAATTCTGTCCCATAGATCCATGACCTCTCTCCCACTGAGATATTTGGAACCACCTTCAATGCCATTAAGACATACTAAATGACCATAACCATTGCAATGAATCACACCATGTAACAGATGACTTTGATTATCTAGAGATTCCTCATTTAACGGCTTATGCCACGCATTGTCCATCGGAATTATGAAATGGTACCTTCTCTTCGATACGAAATGACCACTCCAACCTATCAATCATAAACCAAACCCCATACCCTATCAATATCAGTATCAATATCACCAAAACCCCATTTCAGTTTCTTAATTAATAACACATCATACACTTCAAAATCTAACCCTTTTCATAACAAATCGTGATTGGACCCTTTTCTGACACAAATCACAGTTAAATTTACTTCACAATCAAGAAAACAACAAACCATTATAAGACTACGAAAGAGACTCAAAAATTCATGCATATACCAGATTGAGAAAACAAACAAACAAATGAAAATCATTGCAAAACAGAGCCTACCCATTTCAAGAATATAGAAAATACTCAAAATTCAATCAAAACCAATTCAGAAAAAAATAACCAAATTTCATGCAAAACTGAACGGACCCATTTCAAGAATCACTAACAGAGATAAAGATATCGAAAACGAACCTACGCAACGACAATGATCACAGAAGGGATGAGAAGAGTTGTAAACTTCTTCTTCAAGAGTATAGAACGGAGCCATTAGGTTACTCTTATCATGAATGAGAAACGTGGACCAAAGAGGATTACCCAGAACCGTGTAATCTTCAGGCTCACCAGCTTCTTGAAGAAACAACCGAACGTTTTCACGGAAAGTGCCTGAAGGTGAAATCGGACAACCGGGGTCTGCGAAAGATTGTAGCCGGAAAATCTTGGGCCACCGTTTTCTCTTCTTGCAACCGTCGGTGAGAGAGAAAGACATGATGGCGGGTTGTTCTTGATGGTGGAGAAGATACCAGCTTTGATCTTTTCCGGTTGTGGGTATCTCAGTTTCACGTGTTGCTTCCATGCACAGAACAGAGCTTGATGCAAGGAGAGAGAGAGAGAGAGAGAGAAGACAGTGGCTTAACTGAAAACTGAAAGTGAAACTGATTCCGTTAAACTTCTTTGCGCGCTCTAAAGTGTTGAAATTCAGTTGGGGGTACAATTGTCTTTTCATGATGGGTGATGTTTTTAAATATTGATTATTTTTCTGAGTGAATAATTTTTAGATATTGATTTACTTGCAGAATGGGGAAGAGTCAAATACTAGAGAGATGACTTGATTTTATCACTACTACTTGTTACTACCTCACTAGATTATTTTAAAAGTCCGTGCTTTTAAAAATGTTATATTAAAAATAATAAAATTTAAACGTTAAAATAATAGAATGTATGATTTAAAAAAAATATATATTTATCCAAGATTATTTGGATGAGATGGTAAACAATCTTTTTCCTTTTGCTATAGATTCAATTTTAATTTGAACACACAATTAATTTCTGTAATTGTGTGTAGAAGATATTTAATAAAATTTTATTTTTTTAAAATAAATGAGTAATATATTATGAGTTTGAACTTAAGTTTATACAATTTAATGTTTTTACATAATATAATTGAGTAGATAAGACTATTTAAAAAATATATAAAAATATAAATAAAAATTATTTTATTTTGATTCAAATATATATTTTAGTCTAATCTCCCTGCGTTTTAATTTGTTTTTTCTTTTCTTATTTTATTTTGAAAAAATTAATGTACCACTCCCTAAATTATATATAATATCTCTTGTTTTTCTTAATTTTAAAAATGTTTATGAAAAAATTTCGAAAATTTCAAAACAATTAAAATTTTCTTGAAATTTTTGATAAACCGTCAATATTTTCTGTAAAACTCATGTTTTTCTAAAAATTTCAAAAAAATAAAAGAATTTTATTGAAATTTTCGATAAAGTCTTAAATTTTCAATAATTTCATGTTTTTTGAAATTTTATGATTATTCACGAAGTTAAAAAGCATACATAACCATATTAAGTATATGTATGGTATGTTAAATTCTCTATTTTATGGTGGATTTTGATGATATAGTAGTATTTAACGCATTTAATATCCATATCATTTGTAGGGACAATTTTGATGAAGTGTTATATAATTTTTTTCACTTAAACACAATCATGTCAGAAAAAACCTGATAGTGCGAGAGTGTGAGAAACAAACCTGATGGTGGAAATTAGGCATCAATCTTAAAAACAACGAAAGTGCTTTATGTATCGTTTAGGATCTCTTTGGTTTTCAAAATATACTTTCTAATTAGAACTAGTGAGCGAGAGCAAAATTCTGTGATTAGGAGACGTGGTTTTTGTCAATAGTGCGAGAGTGCAAGACGGAACCTTTAAGTCAATATTTTCTACAGAACTCGCAGAATTCGTGATTAGTACCTTGATTCTACAAGTCCCTTAGGAGCATGAAATCCATACTACGGGCTCATTTTGTCATCAATTCCAATCCTTTAGCAATTATCGTTTACATTTATATCTGTAACCATTTTAACCTTTAGCCTTTGTTATGCACTGCAACATATAACATTAGTTTGATTATTAGTCTCTATGGGTTTGATAATCTTTTAAAACTACATGATAGACTGTATATTTACAATTATTATTCGACGGACACGTCAGTGTGCGATCATGTGTATGATTGAGCATGATAAAAAAAAGTAACGGTGTTTGTCATGTAACTTATAGATGAATTTCATCTAATTTAATACATTGTTAATAAAAAATGAAGAGGAATTTAAAATGTGAGATGTATAAAAACACATCTCTCTGTTCATTGTATTTATCTATATATTCAACAACTTGAAGTTTAGATTCTTGATGCTTCTAAAGCATATTTTGGGTTCTAAGATCCAAAAGATATTTATGCCAACACATAAATTTTCTAGATAATTTCAGAGAAGACAAAAGAAATTTCCATTAAAATATTACAGTAGATATCTCTATTTATAGAATAGTCATGACTGTATAGCAAACAAATATGAAAATTAACATTATATATATATATATATATATATATATATATATATATATATATATATATATATATATATATATATATATATATATATATATATATATATATATATATATATATATATATATATATATATATATATATATATATATATATATATATATATATATATATATATATATATATATATCATTGGGAAATCAATAAAAATGTATGACTTATGATTCTTACATGGTATCGTTAAGCAGTAGGTATTGATCTAAATATCAAACCATAAACCTTAACTCGTCGTCTTTCCTTTCTTAATCCTAACCGTGTCGCCCCAACTTTCTTCTTCCCAACATGTCCGACGACAACCACTCATCCTCCTCTCCTACAAAAATCCAAACATCCTCTCCCAAGCATGTCACCACGACAGCAACACCACCTCCTATCCACCCTCGTTTTCACCATCTCAAACATCACAAATTTCATCAAAATTACCATGAACATCGAAAAAGACCAGTATAACACATGGTATGAACTCTTCAAAATCCATGATCATGTTCATCAAGTTATTTATCACATTATTCCGAAAGAACATACATCATTTCCCAACCTCAAAACCACGGATCCTCACCTCTGGCATTGTTTAGATGTTGTTGTCCTTCATTGGATTTACAGTACTATATCAAATGATCTTTTTCACAAAATTATCGAGCGCGATTCAAATTCAGAATAAGCATGGAACCGGTTGTTCAATATCTTTTATGACAACAAAAATTCTAGGGATCTCTACCTAGAGCAAGAATTTTTGAATTCTCGTATGGAACAATTTAGTGATGCATCCACCTACTGTCAACATCTGAAATCAATATCAGATCAACTCTCTAATGTCGGGGCTTCCATGTCGAATGAAAGGCTCATACTTCAACCCGTCTCTGGCCTCACTGATGCATATGCTATAGTCGGATCACAAAATTTTCACTGAGATTCTCTCCCCCTTTTTATAAAGCCTTTTCCATGCTTATACTAGAAGAAATAGCCAAGGCAAATAAGGCAGCGAGTTTGGTCGAGAACTCTACTTTCTTATCCTCTCAAGATGATGTTTCAGCCTCGGTAGGTCACAACTGTAACAACAATTACAACAAATGCATTAATAGTGCTCACGATGGTCGGCATAATAGATGCGACAGTCGTGGCAGGGGAAGACACGATGGTCGAGGTGGAAGTTGCTCTCAGCCACAATAATGACAATGGTTTCCATCTCTCTATCAGCACCAATCATGGGCATATCCATACAAACCATGGGAAACTCCACCATGTCCTTATCCGATAATAGGTGCGTCATAGAAACAATCTGGCATACTTGGTCCAAGGCCTCAACAAGCCCATAAAGCCATTGTTCCATTAACTTCCACTGGTTAGCAAACACCACAACATTATGCTCCAACAGACATCCAGGATGCTATGCACATTTTCTCCCTCTCTCACCCTGATGATCAATGGTATATGAACATCGGAGAGGCTTCCCATATGACAAGAAATGGAGGTGACTTCACGTCTTATTTTAATATGATTAATAATATTAATATTGTAAGTGGTCATCATTTTTTGGTTATAGGTTGTGGACTTGCATCTTTACCCAATTCCTTTAACATTAAACAATGTCTTACATGCACCAAAACGTATAAAAAATCTTGTTTCTGTCAGAAAATTTACAATTGATAATGATGTCTAAGTTGAATTTGACCTTTTCGATTTTTATGTGAAGGATTTTAGGACAAGAACACTTTTAATGTGATATAACAGTTCTGGTGACCTTTACCCCATTGCCACAAGACAAAACACAATAACATCACCACCATCTTCTGTTTTTGCTTCATCTACTGAGTTATAACATAGTCATTTAGGACATTTAAGAGCTTCTATTTTAAATTCTCCTCATCAAAACAAACTTTTGTTGTGTAATAAGTTTTGAAATGATTTCTTTTGTCACTCTTATCCACTTGGGGAAAAAATAAAACTATTTTTTCATAATTCTTTGTATTTTACTTATATGCCTTTTGACATCGTTCATAGTGATCTTTGTACTTCTCAGGTACTAAGCTCCAGAGGGAATCTTTATTATGTATTATTCCTTGATGATTTTACAAACTATTTATGAACATTTTCAATCTCAAACAAATCACAAGTACATTCCATTTTTTTTATAATTTTGTGCTCACATTAAAACACAATTTGAGCGTGAAATAAAACTCTTTAAATGTGACAATGAGAAAGAATATGATAACTCTCTCTTTCAAAAGACTTGTGAAAAAAATGTAATGTCCTTTAAATTTTCTTGTCCTCACAGCTCCCTTCAAAATGAAAAATCCGGAAGAAAAATTTGTTATCCCTTAATTCCTTCCACCACTAGGAATAAACTCCAACATTGGTCTACATCATGTGTCTTTCTAAGATATTCGTATAATCATAGAGGTTATAAGTGTTATGAATTGTTAAGTCACAAAATAATTATCTTTAAACATGTTATTTTTGAGGAAATATGTTTCCCTTTTCCACCATGAATGCTCCAACAACGACTAACTATAACTTCTTAGATGACGGCATAATCCAACTTTTAACCCTCTCAAGTATACACTACACCTCCAACAACCTCCTCTTCCAACATAACAGTCACCCAACTTCCATTCCCAGCAACCCAACATACTCCTCCCTCTCAAACCATAAACAAAACAACCTTTCCCCTCTCAACAACCCCCTCGGCCCAACAACCTACACCTATGACTTAAACACCTTCTCCTTCCCAAACAACAAACTCATCTACACAAACAACATCAACCACCTCCTCTCCACCTATTCAACTCCCATTTCCCCTCTTGCACCTTATCACCTCAAATGACAATTCGAACACAACATCAAATTGTC